TTTTTTTTTTTCTTTTCTCAAGCCACAGATTATGGACCTCTTTAGTCCATTTCAGGAATATTCATACATTAGGCTAACAAACCATACTATAATAGAATAAAATGGCCCTTCCTCACACATACAGCATCCCATCTTAGCCCATGGCATATTTCTGGGTCCAGCTCCTCGCAGTTGTCTCGTACTTGTTCCTGTCTGTCTTGTACATGTGAGCAATCTCCGGCACCAACGGATCATCGGGATTTGGGTCTGTCAACAGAGAGCAGATTGAAAGCAACACCTGGATATTGCAATGCAACAACAATGAGTGCGACTGTGCGATGCAAAGAGCTTTATCTCAAAGTGTTACCGCTAATGAACATCCTGAATATGTGCTTTTTTAATACAACATCAGCATTTGGTTGATAAATGTATTGCGGGATGCAGGTTTTAACATGATTTGTTTATCTGCTAACGCAGAGAGATTAGTGCAACAAATCAAATTGGAAAACTCTTTTCCTGCAATTAGAAGTATCCCGGAGTATTTTAAAAATTGCAATATAACGCATAAAAGTCAAGACTTGAGCTCATATAGTAGTCCCTACTCCCTAGTACACAATGATGTAATTGCCTCTCCTCCTTTAGAATGAAACTTGTTTTCATATAGGAAATTTCAAGATTATAAGAGAATGAACCTTTGAAATTGTCAAAGCAGGGCTCCACTGCTCCTTCAAGATGTCAAGACAAATGCTGCCGTTGCTGTTTATATTCGGATGGAATACCTTGGTTCTGAATGCCACCTTCAAAGTTAGATGAATATATTAGACAGAGAGAATATGAGAAAGATAACTGGAACTTCTACTTATCGGAGCAATCGTCAATGGCAATATCAGAAACTAGTAAGCGAGAAATGCAAAATGAAGTGATGATGCTCAGAAATAGACCGGAACAACAAACGGTAGCGTGCATTAAGAACACAATTACAAATTATTTTGAATTCCACCTGCAAAAGTCCAATGTGTCCCCAGACCAAATTTGCTCAATGTAATTCTTGGGGGGGGGGAATGCAGACAGTATCCAAAGACAAATAAAGGAAAGAAACGAACACAAAACAACCATTTACAATCGGAGACCAAAGATAACTGATATAAACAGACTTAGTATCAAATGGCATCAACAAAACTTCGAGTCCAAATTCCACTTGCATCCTACAATCGAGGGTGTATAGATCATTGAATACACAAAACAGATACTTTCTGAACATGGAGCAAGAACAAAATACCTTGGGTGGCTTGAAGGGATAATCTGGAGGAAAATGAATGGTAACTAGGAAAACACCCCCAGCATAAGGACTGTCTGGAGGACCCATTATTGTTGCTTGCCAGTGAAACATATCTTCGGCAACAGGACCTGTGAAAATAACCGAAAACGACATAAAGCAAAACCCCAATATAAAACTGAAGTTAGATACTTTACAAAACCTCACAGGGAATTATCAATTGAGAGAGAGAAACATCATCATGATAACAAAGTAAAAAGTACATTTCCAATAAATTATGGCTACTTTAGCCACGAGAAAATGAAACTCATTCCTACACTGAAAAAAAA